GGTCTTACATATACGACTGTGGTTGTCGATGTATTCGCTACGATTGTCTTGAAAATCCCTTTTTGCTGCTTTCAAGATTTGTTTGTGTTAACTTTCTATGAATTGCTACCATCCAGCAGAACTGCTGGATAAAATATTTTAGCTTTCAAATCAACTATTTTGTCTTTCAATTAATAAATTTCAATTATATGTATTTTACTAAAAAATATTAAATACACACACAGAAACACAGACACACGCGCAGATACATGTATACACTTTTGTAAATAAAAAATGCTTATATCAAACGTGCATCACATAACTAATGCACTAAACAGACAAAACATATTTATCACGCAATTTAACTTTACACTGCGATAAAGTAAATCGCTTTACTAACTGCCTTCACGAGATATTATCATGTCCAAGAAAATGTCAAGCCCCTTTAAATGACATACATGTACTATATGTATGTATTTTTGTATGTACGTATCTATTAAATGTATGTATGTGTGAAAAATTGAATTAAATGTATACATAACGTTTTCACACTTTTAACAGCGCGAGTCTAGTAATACGTAGTATTGTCAGTCAGTGTCATGTTAGTGTCATGTTAGTGTCATGTTAGTTTCATGTTAGTTTGATGTTAGTGTTATGTTAGTGTCATGTTACTATCATGTTAGTGTCATGTTAGTGTCATGTTAGCACCATGTTAGTGTCATGCTAGTGTCATGTTAGTGTCATGTTACTATCATGTTAGTGTCATGTTAGTGTCATGTTAGCACCATGTTAGTGTCATGTTAGTGTCATGTTAGTGTCATGTTAGTGTCATGTTAGTGTCATGTTAGTGTCATGTTAGTGTCCTGTTAGTGTCATGTTAGTGCCATGTAAGTGTCATGTTAGTGTCATGTTAGCACCATGTTAGTGTCATGTTAGTGTCATGTTAATGTTATTTTCGTGTCATGTTAGTGTCATGTTAGTTTCATGTTAATGTTATGTTAGTGTTATGTTTGTGTCATGTTATTGTCAAATTAGTGTCATGCTAGTGTCATGTTTTTGTATCCTTTTTTTTTCGTCACACTACATTGTCCTTCACAAAGTGAATTTGTGGAACTTTTAACTTGATAGCTTATCATGACATAGTGTAATAATGTTATCATATTAAACTTGTGTAAAAAAAAATTTATATAATCATTTTATTGAAAATACATAATTAACCAAATTGTCAAATGAAATTTTCGCTATCTAAAATTATCATTAAAAATATTCTTGGTAATATTTTTGCACATAATTTTTCGTCCACAAATTGAATGATTTGAAACTTCGAGCTTTCTAGCTTATGGAGTTAAAGTCTAACTGTCAAATGCAAAATTCCGTCCTGACACACAAAAGGAAACTTAATAAAAGATTTTAAACATATTAGACCCATTCCATTGGGAAAATATTGCAACCTTTCTGTTTGCATTGATCGGTAAACACTCGATGGGTAAGCGGTCAACGTCACGACGGCTGCCTTTACTTACCAGAATCTTTTATTGCACACACTTAATTGGGGGGGGGGGGGGGGGGGTCAAAGGGTCTATTCTTTGCCCATTACAGTGGGACGGGTTGTTTCCCAGCAATTTACATGTCTGTTTTGTAATACCTTTACGATATGTCACATCTAAATGGCACCGTGTTGTATAATTGTGAGACCTGGTCCAACTTATCAGTTACTATCTTTTAGAAATATGTGTCTATGTGTGTGTGTGTGTGTGTGTGTGTGTGTGTGTTAGTGGTGCATTCATGATTTTACATGCATATGTTTGCTACTGACAGTACATTGCTTTGATTTAATAATGCTTGTGTGTGTGTGTTACTGTTGAATTGATTTATGTGTTTTCTGTGGACAGCAGTGATTCCTCTTTGTTATAAAAAACCGGTAAGCTAGATCTACCTGATACCTAAAATAATTGTATGTAGTAGAAGGATGGTCTTGCTTCGGTATTTTTGTGTAATAATTCATTCATTTACAAATCAGTATAATAGAAGAAGACATCAGGGAAAGAAAGCAGGACAAGAAGAAAGCATGATACGAAGAAAGAAGGCACATATAAAGAGGACGAAGAAGAAGAAAAAAAAAGAAGAAGAAGAAGAAAGAAGAAGAAGAAGAAGAAGAAGAAGAAGAAGAAGAAGAAGAAGAAGAAGAAGAAGAAGAAGAAGAAGAAGAAGAAGAAGAAGAAGAAGAAGAAGAAGAAGAAGAAGAAGAAGAAGAAGAAGAAGAAGAAGAAGAAGAAGAAGAAGAAGAAGAAGAAGAAGAAGAAGAAGAAGAAGAAGAAGAAGAAGAAGAAGAAGAAGAAGAAGAAGAAAAAGAAAAAGAAGAAGAAGAAGAAGAAGAAGAAGAAGAATGTGGGGATGATATTTGATTGATTGTTTATGTGGCTATTTATTGTTGGTACACACTATACGTTGATTCAGGTAAAGAACAAAAATTAAAATTTCAGGGAAAATAATCAGTTTTACTCTGTCATTGTTGACAACATAATCAACAAAGTTGAAGGTGTAAACAAGTACGAACCGGACAGAGATTTTGTCACGGTACAGTACAGTGCAGATATCAAAGATCTTAAGTCCGTTCTAAAATTCGTGACCTCAAAGTTAAAAAAAAAAACACCGAAAACTACTGTACAGATCAGTACTAACTTGCAAAATATAAAATCATGACTTTTTGAGCAGACAATAGAAAAAAAAAAAGGTTTGCAAATATTAAAGCAATGTATTAAGAAGGCTCTGAAGGGCATTTAGGGACACTCTTTTTGAGTGCATGGTAGGCACTACGCGTCCCTTTAGAAACGATGCTTTTGCTTCACAAGATTAGCACGAACCAAGATCCAGGATAAGACAGTCGCAATAGAATACATGGACTGTGACTCCAGCAAGTTGATAATGTGCACGTACAACTTCCAAGCCTGAATACATATAGAATGTATGAATGTGTATGAATCTAACACAATACACCCTACAGAGTTGAAAAAATGTTGGTTATAGAATCTGTTACTCTCTCTCTCTCTCTCTCTCTCTCTCTCTCTCTCTCTCTCTCTCTCTCTCTCTCTCTCTCTCTCTCTCTCTCTCTCTCTCTCTCTGTCGGTGTCAATATATATATATATATATATATATATATATACATATATATATATATATATATAAGATGGCGCTACATTAAACACATCATGTGAGGGGACAAGCAGAGAATCACCAACCATGCATTAAAATGGGAGACAGAGATATGCAAAAGACAATAGGCACGACTTGGCCAGACTTCGTCACCACTTGATAGCTCCCAGACTGGATATGTTCACCATACCAGTCAAACAAACACAGTATCAACGTGAATCGGATCTAAGACAAATACACATACACATAACCTTAACGAAAGTGAACTGTGAAATACCAGACACTAACAAAGGTAAGTTCCAGGTAACAAAGCATTATGTAATGAGTTCCAACAAATATATATATATATATATGTATATATAAGAAATTACAGTTGAATGATCTACCAGAAGAAACAATCAAATAGTATGGCATAAACAAGGGCTAGTCATGAAAGACTACTGGCCTGACTTGAGGTAATAGCTGTGGGTCATGATTGCACCAAAGATGAAAAAGGACCTAATAAGCTAATGGCATGAATTGACAGGTTGGCTATACTTATCATATCATTTGCGAAGTATGAACGAACAGATCGTCTCCTCAGTCCACGTCAATTCTTCTTGAGAATTCAACTGGAACTATTCACACTAATATCAATTAATTTATTGCCCAGTTTTTACGCAGCCAGTGTCACATCTGTATATGTCATAGCAGAGGACGACGACTTCTACCATCTATTTGACAATATAGGATGTCATTACGGACTCTGCCATCCTCCAGGTGTGACCCATCTAACTTAGTCTTTGTAGATTGTGCCTTGAGAAAACGGTTGTAATATCAGCTATATCTAATAAGCCAGTGCCTATGACCTTGTTGTGACACATAATGCTAGGTATTATTCTTAGGCATTGCATATAAACGCTGTTTATCGATTTCTCCCTGGTTGAATATGTTGACTAAGTATTATTGTGATAATGAAGAGTCCTGAGAACACACGCGTGAGAGACAAGAGTTTTCCTATGACTTATTGGGTTGATTAAATACTTCCAGACCGAGGAGCTATACTCTAATCCGAGGTAATAACATTAGGTACTTCTTTGGATGTACATTGTGTGCTGATTATTATACACGCAACCGTTGGTTCTTTCAGTTCAAGAAAACTTCACCACAAATGCTTTAAATCATACAATCCCTACAATGCCTGGCACAAATGATGGCAAGGGGAAGCACAAAACATCTTGTAATAATCATCTGCTGTGCCTATTTTTATTTCAATTTATGGCTTTTTTTTTAAAATTATTATTTCATGAGTTGCTTTTTACAGATGGATATTGACAGAGCACGCGCAGTGGTTTGACTGGTAATGAAAAAATGAAGACATTGATAAATACCAATGTACTCAACAATGATTTGCATTGCACGACGTGGTGTTGCTGCGGTTTATGTGTATTTCTATTGCAAACTAATCAGACATTTACTTGTGCCTTGAATTCTGAGTTTTGTGCAACGTTCTAAGGAAATGCTAACCTGTGTACGAATGAAGATTTAACCCAATGCTATAAAGGCCAGTGAAATGAAAATGTTAATAGACATATTATGTGTTAGTCCTTTTTAGGACGAAATTTTTTGTTATTTGAAGCCCCACCCTGGCTTTTGCCTGGGGCCGCAATAAAGGCAGGCCATAAATATGGCCAATTGTCTGAACGCGGTTTCTGGGACATATCCACGGCGATCCTCATCCACATGGTGACACTTTGTGTCATCAGGTGTTTATCGCTTGTGTGATGTCCTGGTGGGGTAGAAAGTCAGTCAGTCAGTCAAATGTTAATATCATATTTAAAAGTCACATTTTCTTTGCTTTTTCTTTTCAGGTTCCCTCCAGAATCGCCATGTTTCGCAAAGTGCAGTTAGTATCTGTCCTGGTCCTAGGAGTATTTTTACCTGTGCTAGTGGCTGGTCAGTGTCCTGTCAAAGTGAGTACATTTGTTCTTCATGTTATATACACGAACAATTTACCTGAATTAAGAAGTATTAATCCTTCACATAATGTTATCCTGGTCTAATGGAACAGTATGACAATATCACTGTTTTTTTGGGTTTTTTTTTTTAAGATTAATCGTTTCTTCGAATGTTTAAAGAAAATTGACCCTGTTTGTGCCATTAGGTTTATTAAACATACTTTGTTAGCATCATTATATTTCAGACATATCGGCACACCACTGTATGTTTCGTCTTCTGCGTCTTCAACACTTCCACTGCTACCGTATCATGTGGCGAGTGAGATTTGAGTTTCTGTTTCTTACCCTTCTGGCCACCTCGACCATAGACAGATCGTAATGTTGTAGACTTTCTATGATGTTACTTTGCATCTTCTTTTTGGTCTACCTCATGCCCTACGTTTTTCTGCTCTGGTAATGTTGCCCTTTTTAACAGGTTTGGTATAGCGCCACAGGGGATCCTGAAATACTTTGGGTAGATTTTAAACTCCAAATTTAGCTCGGGCAGCGCCGCTAGAGCCAGAAGAGCTAGAAACAGAACCTTATATCGCCTTCCACACTCACAGCGGTAAAAGAGGAGGTGAAGAAGAAGAATAAGAAGAAGAAGAAGCGCCGCTAGGCTACCCGTTTCGACTTCCAACTGCCAAAGGATTTTTTACGTGCACAAAACTACACACGATGTAGTTTGTATCACGACTGTCGCTTCTACCTGCCAGAATAGTTTCTGGTTACTTTTTTCAGCTCATTCTACCCATGCGTCTAGGTTTAATATGTGACAGACTGTTCAAGATGGGGTCAGAAACACTGCTATAGTGAAACAACCTACTCCACTCATAGACCTGCTGGATCAACTTGAATTCGCTGATGTTTTTCTGCAGGTTACTCCCCTTCGCTGGTGAAAATAAAAACTGATAACAGAATGCTGCTCCCAACTGGTGCATGCCACAATGGCCACAGCCATCTGTCAACTCGTGATGTTTATCTGCACCGTTATCCCACTTGCTTAACGTTCTTGCTATCCTTAACAGCAATACTAACAGTTTACAAGTTAATCGCATGGCTTTTTTAATTTCTACCACACTCTTAGTGTTTTGTTCTGAAGCTCTTTCGTAAAATTAGTAAATGCCCGTGGATGAATTTGAACACACGAGCACCGGCTGACAGCTAACCATTCTGCGATAATAAAAAGTAGGTTAGCAGCAGCTCGTCTAGTAATTAGAACACTGTGGCCTCGTAGGGGTACAGAGGTTAGAATACTCAGTAAGAAAATTGAATTTTATTTCTCTTACGGTGAAAATAATAATAAAAATAAAATCATTACCAACAAAGTTCAATGCTGTGCACTAGTCATGTAGTTCTAACAGCGTAGGATTTTTGGGTTTTTCCCCTCACACACACACACACACACACACACACTCACACACACACACACACACACACACACACACACACAGCCCTTAATTAGTAGTAAACATAGTAAATATATTTATACGTTACGAATATGAAACATGTGTGAATTATTACAAAGCAACATCATCGGCTATGCACTCAGAAGCAATATGACAAGACTTTCCCATCAAGCTGGTATTTAGACACCAGAAGCAAAAAAATAAAAAAGAAAACGAGAAAGATCAAGAGAGACTCTACGTAGAAATATCATCAGGGAATGATCAACTAAGGGCCTTATGAACACCAAAGACCTAGAGCAGGTGGCGACGAACCGCCAGACGTGAAGATCTATGGCCTCTGCCCTATGCGCCTCTCTAAGCTCAAGTTGGTTGCTATTCATTACAGGACATTGCAGAACCAACCCCTGCATTTTTGGCTACTTTGGTTTTTCTAGGCAAATTTACGTCCAGTAGGCTCAAGAGGAAACACTAACAGCATTTTTTTTCTATGTGGTTACAGGAATGTTACTGTGATATGGTCAGCATTTTGTGTGAGTTTAAAGGATTCACATCTTTGCCAGCTTTTAATGTTACCCAGCAGACCAATCAAACATCTCTTATCTTAGATGTAAGTATTTGTTTTTCTTTGCAATTGTCCGCTATCAACATACATAATATTTCTTTGATACTGGTCCTAGTAGAATTTGAACAGTGAGCTTGCTGCTGAAGATGATGAAGCGCTTATCGGATTGTCCTGAGTGCTAAGATTTCGATCATTATCTCATAACTCATCACTCATGGTATGCCTATTATTGTCATTATCATCAGCATCATCATCTTCCTCATCATCTTTATGTTATGACGTTATATGTCACACATGGTTTGTATTCTATACTTCCAGTCTTGTATATTATGTGTAATCCTCTCGATAGCATACAAGAAATCCGGTCTATGACCCCTAGCCTCTCACAACAACGTTAATCTTTTTGTGAAAGGCCTATGATTTCTCATGTTGCCTGTTTCCTTTTGTAGTTTATTCTTCACTATTATCTCCCGGTCTCTCCATATAAAGTAAAGTAAAGATCCCTTTTCACGCCTTAGGCGCTTCGGGTACATGAAAAGAGGCGTCCTATATTTTTACAGACCATTCGTCAGGGACGAGTAATGTGTTCAGCATTACGTCGGGCGTCTTTACTTCCCCCAGGACAGCCATCCTGGTACCCATTTTAGGCTTGTCGACCCGCGACGCCCCATACCATAATAACAATCTACGCAGCCAGCAGTGGGTTTCGATCGCGGTACGTTAAATAACGAGTCGGACTCGCATCGCCTAAGCCACGAACGCCGCTGGTCTCTCCTTATGATGTACATAATTTATTCCCATCTTCTGTGTGTTATAGGTGATGATACAAGCGCTTGTCAAATCAGACTGCTTTTATCCTAAAGTTAGGACATGTGTTATGTTTTCAATTTCAGTACCAGCATAGCATTTATTATAGAAAATGGCGCCCTGCCTGTCGTCATAATATTGGTGGGGCCCGTATGTGATTAAAGTTGATCGCGTGTGCAACTGTTGATTTGTTGGTTACCTCTGCTACCGTCGATGATAAACTGCATTTCTAATGTTGGACTGTTTGTGTTAACACTTCTGATGGCTACTGAATGATTTAAATGCGTGTGTATGCTAGTGCATATGCTGAGACAGCAGTGTCAATCTCTCCACAAGGGACTGTGATGAACATTACGTTTTTTTCGTGCCCCGCTCGCTAGCATAGTTAGCTAAACCGGACTGCGCGGTGACCCGGTGACGAACTCCTTGTGGTCCGGGTTCACGCCCGGGGGTAGACAGAAAAGCCACATTTCTCTCAGATTTACGGTATTTATCATGAAACAAGGTCGAAGGGTTGTGATATCTATAATACCGAGCCTAAGGGTTAACAACTCATGGCTTCTGGATACTTAACAAAGAAAAAAGTGTGTTTTTCGTTGGCACAGGACTGAAGCAACTATGAGGTGACCCGTTTGCTATGAAGCTAAAACCAACATAACATTACATTAAATTGCATTATAGAAAGTACACTTTTTCTCTGTTTGCTTTAACTCATTTAATTTTATTTCTCACAGACCAATGAGATTACCTCAATACCAGCTAGAAGTTTACCAGCCAACCTGACACAACTCTCCCTGGATGAGAACCCAATTCTCACCGTGGATGACGCAGCATTCGACGCGTCAGCCAACACGCTGAACACACTCTCGATTTCCAAAGCCCGCTTTACACGAATTCCAGATGCCTTCCTCCATTTACACGCACTGACTCAATTTACAATTTACGACACAAACATCACGGACTGGAACACAAACGCCATGAAGAACATTGGTAAAACACTGCAGACGTTTTATTTCACCCAAGCTGGCCTCAATACATGGCCTGATTGTATTCAGTATTTTACCCATCTCACTGATCTAACTGTTTCCTTTACATCGATAGAACAAATCCCAGACAACACTTTTAGTAATTTGGCTACGAGTTTAAAAACACTGTCGTTAATTAACAACAATTTAAGTACTCTTCCTAAATCGCTGTCAAATTTGAAAGCTTTAGAAATGCTGTATTTGAGCACGAATAAAATTGTAGATGTAAGCTCTCTGCCGCTAACTGCAAAACTGAAAACGCTAACTCTTGATGGCAACAGAATATCAGACGGTAATCTGCTAAGTAACCTATTGCGTAGATATGCTGATAGTTTGGTGAGCTTTAGTCTAGCCGACAACAGACTATCAGCCATTCCAGATCTTTCTTTCTTGAAATCGGCTACTGAGTTTTACTTTACAAATAACCAAATAAGCGATGCATATTCTGGTTCTCTTCCATCTGATACTTTCAATATTGATTTACAGAATAACATTCTTACGGCGATTCCCAGCGTATTTCAGAATCTAACATCTGTCCTTAGCTTACTTCTATCTTCAAATATTATTCGTGCTATAAGAGAAGGTGATATTCCACAGTGGATCACACAAATCCAACTTGATTACAATTTTATCACACAACTAACAGATACAAGTTTTCCGGTGAATTCCAGTCTAACTTCACTTGATTTGGACTACAATCCCATTTCAGATATTTCCGCGTCTGCCTTTGTAAATCTCCATTTTCTAACGGGGATATCAATAAAGGGTTCAAAGTTAACCAGGGTACCGTTGGCTTTGACGACTCTGGCACCCTTGAATTTCATTGATCTAAGCGACAGTAAGTATCTCGTATGCACTTGTCTGGAGAAGAGTCTTGGGCCTTGGCTAAAACATTTTGAGGAGTATACGGTGGATGGGAACTGTGGAGAGATTTCCATTTATGATTTCTTTGTCAACTTGAGCCCTGCGTGTCCCACAAGTTAGTGAACTCAGAAACTGTTTTAAAGTAAGCATTAGTTGCTTAGTTGCAGTAACCCTGTGGCTAGTATTCTTGTCCACTGGTATGTTCTGAATCTACGTTTTGAGTAAGTATTCCGTTCTTTAATAAAATCATCACCACAATCACGTTCAACCTGCCGCTGTTGGCAACAAACCGCCAAATAGCTCCGGTTATTTTTGTGGTCAGGTGTATTTGATTTATTTCCATAGCTAAGATTATGGTATGTGTGCCAGCTGTCTTGCTTCATGCTTCTGTCCTCACAGGCAGATCACTCGTTCCTGATTTGTTGCTGTAAGCTGCCGGCGATATCGAGTGCTCTATATTCCACAATGTGAGCGCTTTTAACACCCGAAAACATCCACAACTGACCAAAACCTCAACCTAATTACGTCCCACGACAGAGTGCATTCAGGATCTCACAACTGTATGCAGCCTAGGTCCTAATCCCCAGCAAAAAAAAAAAAAAAAAGGGGGGGGGGGGGAACCGACAACAAAAATTATATACACCGGATTGCACCAACACACGAAAACATACACACCAAAAACACAGCACATGAACCATACTCTCCACAGCACAAAACTGCACAGCAAATCAAAGGCCAAATTACTAACTATACGATTCATCTACCACCACGTGAACTATTGTTGTGTTCCATGACCTGCAGAATTCCCGTGTTTGGGGGAAGGTATTGAGAAAATACCCAACTATTTTCTAGATTCATGTTTGTGCTGGTTTATGCTTTTTAAAATATAAATAGGGTATCGATGCACTTATGTTTTCTATATACTTGTATTCTGGAAGCCCCTCGCATCATTTCTAGTAAAGATATTCCTCCATGCCACCCATTTACGATCTAGCATAGTTTCTTTGTTACTTAACTTTATACCGCCGACCATTCAAGTCGCCACTGCTCTTCAGCTGAGATCATTAAGGTAAATATTTTATGAGAAAATATACTGAAAACTAAACAGAAGCAGACCGAACAGACGTAAATGGAAATGTCATCAGGCAGCATAGGACTATTTAACTGGCTGCATACAAGCCAAAATCTGGCCAGCGGAGACCTTGTAGGTTTGAGGTTTGTGGTTTGAACAACGAATTAACATGATGGCACAAGGGTAGTAACACATATGTTCTCCGTTCTTCTTCTAACTTATGTCTAAGTCCGGAGTAGCTCAGCACAATGCACAGGCTCTGTAGCACCGGCGAGGATACTGAAATACTTCGGGTAGATTATTAACTCTAATCTTTCCCGGGCAGCGCCGTTAGGCTACTCTTTTCGATTTTCAACAATGCACACGGATATCAGATCTCACTACCAAGAGACCAGGAGGAATTACTAGAAGTCAAAGTCCACGTGAAAAAATCCCAGCCTTTACCTGGGATTGAACCCGGAACCTCTATCACCCGAGGCGGACACCATACCTCAAGACCACACAGTTCCCAGACCTAGTAGGTGATCCGCCGATCATTTCCAGTTGGACTGTATTGTCGATCTTGCTATGCTGAGGCTTGAGCTTTTGACCTGTGACGATACTTTTTTTTCAAAATGTTTGTCCCAGAGTAAACTTAAACAGCTCTGATGGAAGCTGATTCTTCGCAGACAGATGCCCTATTCTTGACACCCGGAAAAGGAACATTAGCTTCTACCAAACGTCCTAACTTTTGACCATGTCAAGGAAGTTCCGGATATGATATGTCCACCTTCGTGCTAGTAGTTCGCTGCCTCTTCTTCCATGAACCAGATCCTGCATTCAAAGCTGCTGGAACCCAGGGGCTCAGAAAAATACACCACTCCCACCCCGTCCCCAATCACCCCCTGTGTCCATGCAACCAGGTATAGAAGCTCTCAGTCAATATATTCGTTTATACGTTTCTTTTTAATTTATTATTTTATAATTTTGTTGTTGTATGTCACCTCTTATTAATAATACTATTTATTATTACTTTTATTTTACCATTTTCCCTTTATGAACTGTTATCGATGTACATAGATTAAATTATACATTCGTATAGAAATTGTATTGGAGTTTCTCATAACATGAAGTGCTGTACATATAATCCTAATGATTAAATTAGGTTAGCAAAAAATCACATGTTTTCAATATGTTTCGTCATATAGAAATGAATGGCAGTGGTACAAAACACAAATAGACATGGATGTGTTTAGGTTTGGAAGTCTTGTTGCATGTCATGGAGGTGTGTCGGCACACGAACTGATACATGCTGCAGGAGATCGCAGATTATGGAGAGGCATGATCACCATCGCCAGTCGGCAAGGCACCTGATGATGATGATGATAAGGGCATGAATTGCCTCAAAGCATTTAAGCACAAATCAGGCAAATGCATAGCTCAAAATACACTTGGCCGCAAATGTTGGGACTGGCTGGCAGGCACTGCAGAATCTGAAATGCAACAACGGTTCCCTGACTGTATGACTGTTTACGAAAAAGAAGATGTTATTGTCTATACAGATTGTTCTGATTGGAGAGAGAGAGTGAGAGAGAGAGAGAGAGAGAGAGAGAGAGAGAGAGAGAGAGAGAGAGAGAGAGAGAGAGAGAGAGAGAGTGAGAGAGGGGGGGGGGAGCTTATTAAAAAAAACCGAATAAGCATTGCTTAGATGAAATGGTACCATATCTAACCTGATAATGGTAATCACAGCTTTCCGAAGTCTGAGTAGCAACTACACAAACAAGTCGTAATTGCCTTTTTACGACTTCATAATTCAACGACTCTGCCAACTGCTCATTCACAAGCGAATAAGTCAGCAATTGACATGGAGCTAAGCCTGCTTGCTGTTTACAATGTAGAAGAAGAAGTAGCTTCGAACCTGGTTCATCGCTTCGTCTCGGTTTCTACCAATGCTAAGTGACGTCTCCTCGTTCATATGGGTAAATATTTGACATTACAGCATTCAGGACGAGCCAGTAATAGTTCCCTCTCTCTTCTCAACAACAAGCGAAGTATCTCGATACTGATGGTACACGTTGTCATCAGAATGACTCATCTTGCCTTTCCTGGAGTTTCGAGGGATGTCCACAGTCTGTAGACACCCCGGGTTTTCAGTAATTTGACTTGCTACCTCATCACACAGGCGATAGATCTACTCTGACGTGTGCAGCTGCGGTACGGTCCCAAGTAGGACCAGCCTTCCCAGTCAACATTCTGCCTGCGCATTCTCAAACCTGACCTGAGCTAACTATCCATGTAACTCTCACTATCTGCAAACTAAGGATTGATGCGACATATTGCATACAAAGAACACTTCATTCTACTTTCTTGGGCGGGCTTTGTGAATCAGATACAATAACAACATTTTCTCCATCTATCAGAGTGTCGCAGTTACCGCCTCAACCTCCATTCTCACGCTGGGTATGGTAACGTCGTATGCAAGGTTCTCCTACGTCGTCCTTTTTTCACATGCTTTTGCAATGGAGCCATGTTTTAACTTCTCTGGCCACTGACCCAACAGTGTAAATAATCACAGCTCCTGAATAAGAGTTGTCTTCTATCGGTTGTTGAACCTCAGCGTCTGCCCGCCCCGAGGTCCACTCCCCTGCCAATGAAGCTCTCCTCGTTGATCACGATAATGCGTCGGGACGAGAACTTCAGTGCACGTCTATTGCTGCCACACACCTCAGTTTGAAGTTTCATCCTACCGTTGGCATGAGGTTTCGGCATACATTTGTTATGGCTATAGACGTTCCGACGTGACGGAAAGGATATTCTGCTTGCAAAAAACAATTTGGTTGATCGGTTTTTTCTTTGGATTTTGAAAGTTTCAGTTTTGTTAGTAATCTAGACCGGTCACATTCATCTCATAGAGCAAATGAAGCAAAAAACAAAAACAAAAAAAGAAATATAACGACACATGTGAAAAGCATGAACAGTTATGCATATAACAGTTTTAGTGACAATTACAAATTGGAAGGGCATCTTCTCTTCACGTTCACCGGCTGTAAACTCCGGCAGAAAGTTGTGATTGTTTGTCCAACTCTGGACCTAAGTCTCGTTCCAGAACATCCGTTTTACTAATCTGACTTATTTGCACGCACACTGTCGGTTCCTTACCTCTCAGGCAGAAGCACACCGACTTTGAAGGAAACTTTCAGGTAGTCGCTTTTTACGACATGCTTGTTGGGAAACTAAGGGTTCAGTTATTGTTTTCCCCACAATGGGTTCCCAAACCCTGGGAGTCACCGTGTGGGGCCAGCGTGATGATGACCATATCACCCACCCTGTGCCGTTTGTCTAAAAATAAAGGTCTAACCCTATATGCCCTATACGCCTAAAGGCGTGGAAACGGGTCCTTAAAGTGGGACCCAACCCACGCGTAGATTTTGACATTTGAAAATTGTATAGATAATGAATATATAAATGATTCGTTACTTTGCTAGCGATGTGTAATGTGATTATTACACATCTTAGCTGACCTCGTTTTACTGCTCAGTTGTCGGAAGATAAGAACAAGTAAGCAATTATTGTCTGATTTAGTCAACTAGCAACAATTTAGGTGAGTGCCTGTTAATTACAAATAGTAGCTCTCTCACGTGCGTATACTCACACAGACATACGCGCTCTCTCTCTCACACACACACACACACACACACACACCTATAGGCAAACAGTTAAACCCACATGCAAACATATGGCATATGCAGTTAACACACGGTGTTCTCATTATAGTCCATATCATGTGGCGTTCTAGTCATGTGTAACTCCAACCTTTTCTCTCGTGTACTTTCAATCAGTTCTGACATAGATAATCATCCATTCCCTGATGTTGAATGTTTAATTATGAATCGACAAGTTCCAATTCCAGTGGTACCAATAGCAGTCTGATTGTATATCCGTCTTACATTTTCCTTGAGTGCTGATGGTCAGCCATATCCCCTGGTCACTGGTCGCAGTACCACTCTCTTGAGACCATGATAATCCATCTCTGCTTCTCCCCAAAATGGTCCTCACAACACATAGGGTGTCATGCATCAATTCACCACCAACGGTGTGCCAGTCTATCTACATGTTCATTTCCTAATACACCGACATAGCCTTGGAAAAATATCCAAAGGACATTAACCACTTTGAATATTTAAGCGATGCTTACCACTCTTCACAGATCTACCTTTTTAAAATTGTGTGTGAGTCAGTTTCACTTACGACACATGTGTACAAGTGATTCTCAAAATGGCGAAAGACTTTATTGACTGCCTCCGCCTTCATTCTCAAACTAGATGTTGTGGTGTCATACACCAGGTTTTGTTGCTTTTCCTGAAAACCTCCATGATGTTCGAAAGCCTCTCAACACAGAGCCATCTGTATAGATTATTACATCCCCTGGGTGAGAATTGTCATGAATCATTTGTCGAACTTCTGATTCTGCAGAGCCCGCTGGCCAGTCCCTGCACTTACGACCCAGTGTGATCAGAACTCTACAAAAGTCTGACCTTTGCTGGGACATTTTAACACACTTTTCTCCACGCGCAATGTTATCAAGTCTAAAAGGTTAGGTTAGTTGCGTATGCTCTACAGGGCGTTGCAGAACCAACCCCAGCAGCTCCTGGCTGTTGTGTGGTCTCTAGGCAAATTTACGTCCAGTAGTTTGCCATTGCTCCCTGGACGGTCGGACGCCTGATACCACTGTCGAAACCATGGCCCACAGCTGGGATCGAACCCGACACCCTGGCATTACGAAGCTTTCGCATCGACTTAGCCACAGAGCCGACATCAAGTCTAAACACGTTTCTAATTGTTCAGAGATCCAGAGTTGGCTTGCGCCATCCACGACCTCTTTTCAATCTGTACCCCTTAGCTCTGTCTAGGGCTTCGTGCAGGAGATGTTTTTTTTTTTTTTTATCTGCGGTTACTCTTAGATATGACTTAACAAGTAGCACGTTTATCTTTCGAAGTCGGCAGTGCAAGTATATATCGCATTTATACCACCGGAATATCTCTTCTATATCCTTTATGGCTTCTTATTGTCGGTATGCGTTCAAGTTTCATCAGTTGAGTTTTTCATATGGTAAGCATTCCAAATACAAAATCTATCACCGAGAGAATCGAATGCCGGAACATTGTGAACAACATTCTCTTTTCCACGTAAATTGCTACCATGTATGGTGCAATGAATCTTTTTTTGGCAGTTCTTCCTAGCTGACTCTAAATGATCCCCGAAGTACAGACTTTTATGTAAGTAAAGTTAAGATCCCTTTTGACACCTTTTGGAGCATCGGGCATATGGGAAGAGCGCCCATATTTTTACAGACCATCGGCACTCGGTGGGTAATGTGGTCAGCCTTACGCCGGCCGTCTTTACTTTCCCAGGACAGCCTACCTTGGTACCCATTTTAGGCTGGGTCCACAGACTTCTACAGGACTCTCTAAATCTTCAGCAACAAATAAGAATGGCGAAAACTAACTTCAGTAGATGGGACAGTTATTGACAACCACAGAGATGCACAGCACAAACTTTGAGAATCCTCAAATGCCATGTACACCCAACAAAGACGTTTGGCGCCAAAACCTGAAAAACCAACAAGTAGTCATAAAAACGCTGTGTCTAATGTGCTGAGCTTCTTCGGACTCAGACTTGACTTAGAAGAAGAACGGAGCACTTATGGGTTACTACCCGTGTGCCATGATGTTGATCAGTTGTTCAAACCTTAGACCTATCACATTTGAATCACTATTACATTATGCTATTTCTATTACTTTTAGATCACTATTACATTGTGCTCTTTCTATCGCTTTTAAATGACTCTAACCTTGTGCTTTTTTAAAATCACGTGTTAATCACTTTTACATTGTAGTGCTTTTATCATGTTTAAATCGCTATTAGGCCTACATTGTTTTTTAACGCCTAAATCACTATTACATTGTGCTTTTTATCACGTTTAAATCACTATTACATTGTGCTTTCTATCACTTTAAAATCACTATTGCAATGGGCTTTCTATCACTTTTAAATAATTACTACATTGTTCTATTCCATAACTTTTAAATTCAAAATTACATTGTGCTGTTTCTATCACGTTTAAATCGCTATTACAATATGCTATTTTCATCAATTTTTAAATCACTTTTACATTGTGATGTTTCTATCACATTTAAATCACTGTTACAGTGTTCTATTTCTATCACGTTTAAATCACTATTACATTGTACTATTTCTAATTTCTTTTAAATAACTATTACATTGCTATTTTTCTTTCACTTTTAAATCACTATAACAGTGAGCTTGTTCTATCACTTTTGAATCACTTGTATATTGTGCTCATTCTAATATCTTTGAAACGTCATTACAGTGTGCCATTTCTATAACTTTTAAATCGCAGTTGCTTTGTGCTATTTCAGATTTCATTTGGCTGTTCTCGTCGTCTCCATAAAGAATGAGAATAGCCAAATATAAAGTGTTACTTCTGCTCTGCGTCGCCCATCTGTTGCTAACCTTAGGTATCGCTAACTGCAATTATAAGGTGAAGGATATTTTCCATTGAGTGTAAAGATGCTATATAATCTATAGTCGATTTCTCTTCTAGCTCTTCATTTTCTCTTTCTCCTCTACGGGCGTCAAAGGGCCTATTATGTTTAAAAAACGGATCAACATCATGGCACAAGAGAAGTAACCCATAAGTGCTATGTTCTACTTCTAACTCAAACCTGAGTACAACAATTCGCAGCGCTGTGCACGAACTCTGTAGCACTGGCTAGGATCCTTAAATACTTTGGGTAGATTTTTAACTCCTAATTTTTCCCAGGCAGCACTGTCAGGCTGCTTTTCGATTTCCAACAGCCAAAGAGTTTTATACGTGCACAACAATACACACGGGTGTCGTCCGATCTTTCTATCCAGAGACTGCTGAAGTCGGATTTAAAAATCCCAGCCATGCCTCGAGACCACGCTTCTTCCTAAGGGTGTCAAAGAAGATACATGATTCTGTGTCTTACATAGACACATCATGCGTTTGTAATGTTTCTCGAATGTTATCTTTTCATGTTGTTCCTAGTCTTTCTTGTGATCTCAATACTTGGGTGTTCTAGTTTTCATGTGACAAGTAAGGTTAAACGCACTGGAAAAGCACACTCGGCGATTAAGACCTAATGAACCAAAGCGTCACTTATTCGGATTAGAATCATGCAAGTGCAAATAGCAAATCTCTATTCAACCACAATGAAAAGTCAGTTACATAATCAAACGTAAGCTAACATGTTGAATGACATGTCAATACTAGTCCGCTTACAAAGCACGCAGAACATACATATCTCCCTTTCTCTGCCCCCCCCCACCCCCCACCTTAAATGGTGTTGATGTAATTTAAATGCACACATATGGGGCGGTGAGTAAAACTGAACTCCACAATAAGCCATTAACCTGGCTCATGCAGTGTCAATATTCAGATGTGTATCCCTAGGTAAAAATCCTGAAATCCTGTTCTAAAGCAGAATTATACTGAAGCTCCAGACGGCCGTTAAACCGGGTCGGCCCCTAAAAGCTGGTCTGGTGTCCGGACTACCTAAAGGATGTTAGTCAGCTGTCCAGACCGAACAGGGGAACCGCCAGGGTTTGTGTGTGTATGTGTGTGTGTAAGGGGGGGGGGGGGATTGTTTGGTTTCCTATGTCTCTGAAAGTGCAGTAGAAGATCAAGGCCTGGGAGTTATGACCCAGGTTGGCCCACCTTCTGAAGTTGTCTAAGAGGTTTTGTGCGTAAACAATTTGTAATGACGGATCTTCTACCAATGATTGGTAGACTCCTCCTGTAAGTTTCCCCCTGTGGAGTTCTTATTCTTATACAAGGTTCTTTGGGCCACCGGATCGCAGGTTTCACATTGTTCAGGAACATGTCACTTTAATGGGCCTTTCTCACAGTTTCACCTCTATTCTTGAAAAAGCGTCAACATATAGCCACTGATATCCAACAAGACGGTCAGCCTTAACTTCCGCGATGATGCGGCTCCTCCAACTGCATCGATTGTCCCTGACTCTGTCGTTCATAGTGGTGCACCCATAAAAAAACTTTGTCACAATTAGCATATTTTTATTTTATTTTATTGCTATGACGGTCCAAAGGATCATTCTGTGTCCTGAAATAATATATTTTGTGTTCTGCATACTGTTCCATGCAGGCTGGGACACAATCGCATTTTTTTTAATGACTTGCCCTCATGTATGTATACAACTTAGCACAGAAATTCCCTAATTTTCTAGTAGTATCTACTATAGAAGTGCAAATATTACTTTTCCACAGAGTTACAACAATTCAGAGGTCACTAGTGGATGTCTACCATCGAACCTGGTAATTCTCAACATGGTCGGTCAGCCAGTATCAACAATAGACGACGATGCATTCAATGGTTCATCCAACACGCTTACTACCATGTACTTCTCTACAGTTCGTTTCACGAAATTCCCTAAAGCGTTTGGGCAACTACGTGCTCTGACTGCGTTGTCAATAACAGCAGCCAACATTACAGACTGGAATGATGATGCCTGGAAGACCCTGGGTCAGACACTGGAAACTTTGTTTCTAGTGGATGTTGGTATGACTACATGGCCAATGTGGATTGAGTATTGCACAAAACTTTCGGATCTAACTATTGCATATAATTCGTTCTCTACAGTACCCGTTAATGCACTAGATAATGTGGCTAATAGCTTAACACGGTTAAATCTCTACAACAATAGACTTACACATGTACCACAGGCGATTTCAGTCTTGACATCTTTGCAGGTGCTAACTATCCAGGGAAATCAAATTACCGACCTTACCTGGCTCCCTCATAACAGCACACTTGATTATCTATCTTTGAGTAATAATTACATCTCCAATGCCAGCCATTTAAGCCAAGCTTTATTCCCTTTCAATTTATCATTGCACTCTCTCGATACAGATCATAACCTGTTCACCAGTCTCCCAGATTTATCCTTCTTGGTCAATGTACAGTTCTTCGACTTTTCACACAACAAGATACAGGATTCTCAGACCGGAAATGTCAACCCTGATGCTTTTATCCTCAATCTTTCCTATAACTCGCTTACATCAATTCCTTCGCTCATGTCTAAATTGCTGTCTGTATCAGGTTTTTTGCTATCATACAATAATATAAAAGCAATGCATGAAACGGACTTTCACAGTCAGGTAACATCAATTGATATTGGGTATAATTTGATAACTGAATTAACAAATTCAAGTTTCCCTGACAATTTCGGACTTTTGTATTTGTATTTAAACAATAATCCATTGAACACAATTTCGACAGTTGCACTGCAACGTCTGCCACGACTTCAAAATCTGAATCTTCAACAAACGCAGCTGATTCGCTTGCCTCTAGCTCTGACTTACCTCACCGACATAGTGTTAGTTGACTTGACAAATTGCACGGCATTGGTGTGTACATGCGATGAGAGTGGTTTGTCCACTTGGGTAATGGGATTTAGACCAGATTTTATTCCTGGCAGCTGTGGAACTACTAGTGTATATGAATTCTTTTCAGTTTTAAGCCAGTACTGTCCAATTCACTGACCAGCTTCGGATACATAACGTGTGCTCTGTGGTCTAAGCCAAAATTATCATTATCATGCAGAAAGGGCTTTACAGACAACCGGTCTCATCACGTACTATAAGAAGATCTCCAGCCAATATTTTCATATGTAATATTACCATACCCTAGAATTGGAACGACATACTGGCGTATGTATCGGAAATGAGGATAAAACTATTCGCAACAAATATAACTAAGAAAAGATAATGCAACTTAGGAAGAGAAATGCAACTAAGGAAGAGAAATGCAACTTATAAAGAGAAATGCAACTTAGGAAGAGAAATACATCATATGAAGAGAAATGCAACTTAGGAAGATAAAATGGTGCTAAATGTTTGCTGTTAAGCGAAAAGTATAAACGATGATTTGTTAAACTGCAAACGTGTTTAGAGGCGGGATGAGACGAAACATTGTAGCCAGTGTCAGCAGACAATAAGAAGAAACTCCACACAGGAGCATGTACAGCAGGGTTCTACCAATCATCAGTAGAAGTTAACCTCTCGTCGACAAATGTTTCGGCCCACAAGCTCCTAGACATTTTCAGAGAGTGGGCCCATCTGAGTTCATGAAGCTCAGGGTTGGTTTCTCCTGCTGCACGAATTACCGGATGTTGTTCGGATAGGGATGAGACGAATTGGTGATTTTGCAGAAGGTACTGTGAGATAAGAAGCCGTCCCGGTAGCATAATTAAAGCAGTCTGCATACCTGAACGACAGAGCGGCAAGTTTACGATTGGATTACCGGACACATGTTGGACTTTTTTAGCAGGTGGCAGAGGGACACTGGCAGACAATTCGGACACGATGGACTTTTAAGGGATGAGACATTCCTTTCCGCTAGACACCCTGACCAGCTCACGCGGATAGATTATAGTCGTCCTGCTTTTTCACATATTCTAACAGATATATGAGATTACTTTCGTGCGACCATTGTTAATTTCTACAATATAATATAACATGATCTACAAATGTAGTCTGTTTTGGAGTCCAATAATCTGTGGCATTTCAAACACCTTATGTTAAGACATCAACTATAATCCAACAACACATAATAAATGTTTCGGACAGTCAATATATTCTTTGAATTATTCATTTGTATTTATCAAGTGTTTGAATGTAAAGTAAAAGTGAAGATTCCTTTTTTAAGCTTTTAGGCGTATCGGGAATATGGGAAGAGCGCCCATATTTTTACAGACCATGGGCACTGGATGGGTAATGTGGTCAGCATTACGCCGATCATTTTGGTACCCATTTTAAGCTGGGTCGACCTGCCCGATACCATGATAAAATCCACGCAGCCAGCAGTGGGTTTCGATCGATATACGTCGGAATTACGTGTCAGACTCGCAACGACTAGGTCATGGACGCCGCAAGTGTGTAAATGTTAAAATTAAATTAATTAAACAGATAACAGATAGGATTTTTAAAAAAAATGAGAACAGGACAAAAATACAGCCAACCAATATTAATACAGAAAATACAGATATACTTTTGTGAGTTTATGTTGAAAACATATGCATTTGTTCTCTTTCAATTTAATTGATTGTAAAATAAGAAGACGAAGACAGAAGAGAGAAAAAAATGAGGGTAAGAGAAGAGAAAGTAGTGGCAATAACAGCAGCATCAGTTGTTATATAACAGCTCTCTTGGTGAACCTCCAGTTTCCGGAACCTCCAGTTTCTGGAACCTCCAGTTTCTGGAACTTCCAGTTTCTGGAACATCCATTTCTAACTCTTATAAACGTCTCTCCCATCACGGCTTTCTAGAAAACTTGTCGATGTATATGAGAGAGAGAGAGAGAGAGAGAGAGAGAGAGAGAGAGAGAGAGAGAGAGAGAGAAAGCATGCGGTCCATGTTACTTGAATGTAACATCCTGAGTGTAACCGTTACCACCATGCGATCCATGTTACTTGAATGTATGCGGTCATGTTACTTGAATGTAACATTCTGAGTGTAACCGTTAACTGCATGTGGTCCATGTTACTTGAATGTAACATCCTGAGTGTAACCGTTACCTGCATGCGGTCTATGTTACTTGAATGTAAAATCCTGAGTGTAACCGTTACCTGCATGCTGTCCATGTTACTTGAATGTAAAATCCTGAGTGTAACCGTTAACTGCAAGCTGTCTATGTTACTTGAATGTAAAATCCTAAATGTAACCGTTAACTGCATCAGGTCCATGTTATTTGAATGTAACATCCTGAGTGTGACCGTTAACTGCACATTTAGAAAAGACAGTAACGGGAATTAAAGATACATGTAAACCAACAACTGACAATGGAATATCAACGCGAAATCATAAAACTACAGTAACTGGTAATTTAGGCAATAATAAATAAAGTACATATTTACCAAATGTTACGCAGAAATTGGTGTCATTTCACGGGCATAATTGGCACTGGTAGTAATAGTAGCAGTTATCGCAATAATATTAACAGAAGTAGTAGTAACACTGTCGGCTCTGTGGCAAAGTCGATGCGAACGCAACGTAATGCCGGGGTGCCGGGTTCGATCCCAGCTGCAGGCCATGCGCCTTGCATTGGTTTCAACAGTGGTATAAAGAAAGCCGACCGTCCAGGTACAATGACAAACTACTGGACGTAAATTTGCCTAGAAAAACCACACAACAGCCAGGGGCTGTTGGGGTTGGTTCTGCAACGTCCTGCAAAGGATACGCAACTAACCTAGTAATAACACTAGTGGTGGTAATATTATTTGTATTAGTATGATATTAAGAAAACACCACAGAACATCAACTTAAATTTAGGAATTCTTAGAATGGATACAGGGATTAAGGAACAGTACAATGTCACTGTAGAAAACCGGTATAATGCAATGGAAATTATACAGACTATTGATGAACAGTGGGTTATGTTGCGTGAGTCAGTTCAGCAGACATCAAAAGAGACAATCCCACCAATCCATGAGTTGCAAAAAAGAAATGGATATCAGACGAAATTCTGCAGTTGATGGATGAAAGAAGGAAGAACACGAATGATAAAGAAGAATACTCTAGATTACAAAAAGATATAGATAACAAATGCAAAGTGGCTAAAGAAGCCTGGCTGAATCAAATGTGTACAGAGGTTGGGGAAAATCACAGAAAAGACTCAAACTCCATGTACCAACAGATATATATGTTAACAGAAAAGATGACACGTAACAGCATTGGATGTTTACAATCAAAAGATGGCGACTGATTATTGGGACATAGTATAATTAAGAGATGGACAGAGTATATAGGAGAATAATATGATGATAATAGACGAGATGTAGAACTGCAGACGAACAATGATGGTCCACCAATAATGACTGCAGAAGTTGAGGATGCATTACATCATATGAAGAAAGGAAAAGCACCCGGGCCAAACATCTCAATGGAGGAAATCAAAGCACTGGGAGATTTTGGAATTTAAATAACTAAATGATATTTATAATAATGAGTATATCCCGAATGACCTTTCAAAATCAATATTGATAGCTCTGCCAAAGAAACCAGGCACATTAAAACGTGGAGACCATCTCACGATAAGTCTAATGTGTCACAGATTCTAAGATTTTACTGGTAATAATTATAAGAAAAATAAGAAAAAAATTAAACCAGAAATCAGCGATGAACAATGTGAATTTGTAGAAGGAAAAGGTACAAACAATGCTACATACATCCTAAGGACATTGTCAGAAAGAGCTATTGAAGAAAAGACTGATTCGTACTTATGCTTTATAGACTATACAAAAGTATTTGACTGTGTGAAACGTAAAGAAGTAATCAAACTGTTAGAAAAATTAAACATTGATGGAAAAGAACTACGAATAACAAAGAATATGTATTGGCAGCAAACATCAGTTATAAGAATTAACAACTCTTTAGGTACATTTCAGAGCATAGAAAGGGGCGTACCCCAAGGATGTGTACTATCACCTGATTTGTTTTAAATATACAGTAAATATATAATGAGATCTTTAATTGATATGCCCCGGAAGTTTGGTTGGTGGGCACAATATAAACAATTTACGTTACGCTGATGGCAAGGTCTTGATAACAACACGTCAGATAGAACTACAGGAAATGATAGACATTGAAAGAATGGGCGCCCGTTTGAATAATGGGAAGGCAGAAGTGATGGTGGTATCAAAGATAAGCATTATTCCAAACTGTGTAATAAAAGTCGATGGCGTTATTTTGGGACAAGTACATAAATTTAAATATCTGGGCACATGGATAACATCAGATGTAAGATGCATTACTGAGCCTAGAAACAGATCAGGCAGGCAAAAACTGCATTTTATAAATTGAAGAACATCTTATGCAAAATATCTCTGTCATTGAGAGTTAGAAAAATAATTCTTGCTTGCTACATACATCCAGTTTTAATATATGGCTGTGAATCCTGGACAATCAGTAGGCAGGCTAAACAATTTCTTGAGGCCTCAGAGATGTGGTTTTAGAAAAGAATGCTTAACATACATTTGACAGTCAAAAAGAGCAACCAAGAGGTTTTGAAAGCGGCGGGAGCCCGAAGACAACTTGTCACAGACATCAGAGGGAGACAGTCATCATTTGTCGGCCATGTTATGAGAAGAGGGAATATAGGACATGTTGTGACCACTGGAAAGTTCTGTGGAAGGAGGGATAGAGGAAGACAACGGGAGAAGATTCTTGACAGTCCTTGTTGCATGGCTTGGATGTGTGTCAGCACACGAACTGATACATGCTGCAAGAGATCGCAGATTGTGGAGAGACATGATAGCCCATTCCAATCGACAAGGCACCTGATGATGATGATGATGATGATGATGATTTGTATTACCAGTTGTAGAAGAAGTAACAACAGTAGTAGTACACGTAGTGGTGGTTTTAACGACAGCAGTAGTAGCAGTATAAGTAGCATTATTGTAGTAGTAGTAACTATAACAAAAGCAGTAGTAGCTAAAGTAGCAGTAGCAGTAGTTGTAGTAGTAGTATAAGTACTTGTAGCAGTAGTGGGAGTGGTAGTAGTAGCAGCAACAGTAATGGTAGCAGTTGTAGTAGCAGTAGTAGTAACAGCAAGAGTAGTAGTGATAGCAGTAGTATACATACTAGTAGTAGCAGCAGCTGCAAAAGTAGTAGTATTAGTAGTAGAAGTAACAACAGCAGCAGCAATCTTAGTGGTAGTAGTAGTAGTAGTAGTAGTAGTAGTAGTAGTAGTAGTAGTAGTAGTAGTAGTAGTAATAGTAGTAGTAGTAGTATCAGTAGTAGTAGCAGCAGCAGCAGCAGAGTTACAGTAAAAGCAGCAGTAGTTGTAAAAGCAGCAACAGCAATAATAGTTGTAACAGGAGTAGTGATTACAGCAGCAGTAGTAGTAGTAAATGAAGAAGAAGCAGCAGCAGCAGTAGTAGTAATAACAGCAGCAGTAATAGTAGCAGTAATAACAATAATTGCAGCAGCAGCAACGGTATTAGTAGTAGTAGCAGTAGCAGCAGCAGTAACAGTAGTGGCAACAGCAGCAGCAGTAGTAGTAACAGCAGCAGTAACATCAGTGACAACACCAGCAGCATTAGTAGTAACAGCAGCAGCAGTTTTAGGAGAAATAGTAGTAGCAGCGGTTTAGTTGTTGAAATAGCAGCAGCAACAGCAGAAGCAGTAGTAGTTGTAATAGTTGTAGCAGCAGCTGTAGTGGTAGCAGCTCGCCAAGGAACCCTTTCGGTTCTGACGCATGTGAACTTCACTCGAGCCATGGTTTTCTAAGAAAGGTCGTGATGCCTATGTTACTTAACATGTCACGCTGTGATTGTAACTATCAACTACACAGGTAATAAAAAAAGTACAAAGAGATAAGTGGCTCGCGTTAAAGGAACGACACCCCATCTCATTACTCGAGCTGGTCTAGTATATGCGATGATCTAAAATCGTTCACTGCAGCGAATGTATCTTCGTGGTAAATTTGATTACAGTATGTCTGTAAGATAAGTACCCATTTGGAATCCATGCGTGGTTTAATTCACCTAGTAAAAACAGGTAAGTGACATGTGCTATTTAATACATGAACACACAAGCGCCCGTGAAAACCCACAACGCACATGATTGATATATTTGACACACTATGTTGTACCCCACCAGGTCATCACACAAAGCAATAAAAACCCGGTAACACGAAGTGCCACCATGCGGATAAGAATCCCCAGTGGAGAGGTTCCACGAACCCCGTTCAGCCGTTAGGCCATATTTATGGCCCGGCTATTTTTAGCCCCCCCCCCCCCCCCAACCGGTAAAAGCCAGGGTGGGGCTTCAAAAAACGAAAAATTACAACCTACATGGGGACGGCAGAATACCGATTTTTGTGTGGGACACATTATTATCCCAATTGAGACGCATAGTTTCATACTTTAAGAAAGCGATGGCCAGCACAAATGGAACATTTAGGTCAATTAAAAGTAGATTTTATAATGATTCTACAAATTTCGGAAAGTAGTGAGAGCCTATCTGCCTTGAACCCTATCTAACAAACCTAAGCTGAAAAGTTCAAGTATGTATTGACATAGATTTTTAAATCAATTACCTAGGGTAAAATAACAGACTTCATTGCACGTTGGACATTCACATACGTGCTTAGTCTTCCGATGCGGCAGCCACACCAAGCTATCTCTACTGATTGTTTCAATAAGAAGCTGGCCATAAGGTCACTTATCTTAAAATCAAAGAAGGCATAGAGGGGCTTCTCCAGGCTTGACTCGCATAACACGTAATAACTGGGTCGCCGATCTGCTGGCAGGTAGACTACTTCGTCGCCGGTGAGAACAGTATTTCGGTCTGTTTTCTTTGACCGTATCAACACTGCAAGATTCATTTCCAGGGCCTGCAACTTGGCGTGCAATGCTAAGCCATTTTAAGTGGCGCACATAACCTAGTCATAATTATAACTAAAAGCTCCCCATTGGGAATGCTGGTTGAAGGTCACGATGTTGTTCCGGAACAAGCAGGTAATCGGTCTGGCTTCTGAGACTGGTCTATGTAGGCGTGCTGGTATTACATCCTCCAAGGGCTGTTAGCCTAGTTTTAATTGTGTAAAAATAATAATGTCTTTTTGTCTGTTAGAAATGGTCTCTAGAGATGGGTCTTTTGTCATGTCTAAAAACACCAGTTGTGTGCCCTGGGTCCTTTGGTTACTCTTTTTATTTTGATTAATAACTCATCTGCTTCATGCATACGCATTGTTCGTCAGTTCCCTGTGTCCAGATGATACTTAACTAACACATCTTGGACAACTGATGTTATCTGCAGTAATAAGAAAACAAAGATATACTGCAAATACTAAAACTATAGCGACAACGAAAATCAAGAAACAAGTTTTAATTATTTCGTGTGTTTTTTTTCCACACAAATGATTGTAGCCTGCATGTCTGCCGATATTCATCAACTCAAAGGTGCCGTTGCAACAGGACAACTTCCAGCTACAATGCTGAACATGTATGAAACATTTACATTGGAGCACACTTCTTGTAGTTCTTGTTGTGTGGCGTTGGAACATGTCTTTTCACAACCTTTTGTCTCGTGTACTTTCAGTCAGATCTGACACAAATGATCTTCCATGTCATGATGTCAAACTGTCCAGCATCCGCTTTCTGCGTATACCTCTGTATCTTTTCCTCTCCAGCATTCCCATTAGCACGATGAACTAGTTGTGTCCTTTTTGGAACAAAATACAGCCGTAAAGAAAAAAAAAATTCCTAGATGGGCAGATGTAACTGCCTTACTGAAATTACAACAAATGGATTGAGGAAACAAGAAGACCCCCAGAGAAATCTTGTGACGAATGCTCTCGAAAGAGGCCAAGAATTCAGGACCGAGTTCCTTCCACGATATCGATAAGATGGCACGGAATGTAATGGACTGAAGAACAGACATCTAGTTCTATGTGGCAAATTACGGGACTATAGAATAATGCTAACACAATTACAAATATACGATGATGTTTACTAAACAGATTGCATGGATGTTTCAGATTACACTTGGATGTGCAGGTCGGCTGAATACACTATGAGAAAGGACATATGTAAAGCATTACTTCAACTCTGTGTTTATCTCTGGCTACCAGTAGGTCGCGCTAACTGTCCTTATAAGGTGAACTATATCTCGTGTAGACTTTGTCAGGACGATAAGCCTTCTATTAACATGTGAGTCACGAGATATTTGTCGTACGCCACCAACTTAACCTTCTGAAACCGCGTGAGAAATTATGATAATCGACAGATGGAGGCAACAGCACATGGTACCAAAATCATTGAGATACACACGCCTGATTTGGTCATCTGGTTAGAGTTTAATCACAGTTATCAACAGAGGCGTTACTCCTTAAAACATCTGAAGTGAAATCAAGAGGACGAACAGAGAGCATTGACCGATGACATTAAAGACGTTATACAGTCACACAGAATGACAGTTGTAGGCGCTTACCATCTGGTTCTCCTCGGCGTTTAAATGCAACCGTAGAACTTACTAATGAGTCCAGTGTAGACGATAAACATTTTATATAGCCACAAAAAATACTTTGAGACTTATTTTAGAGAAATCTGCAGAAATACAACAGACCCTTATTTTTAATTTCATTGACTTTAAGAAGGCTTTTGATAGTTTAATCGGAGCATCACTATGGGGTAGTTTGCAGTTCTATTGTATACCAGTTGCATTTTAGAATTACAAATATTACTAAAGCAATGCATGAAGGCTCAGATTGTGTAGTGAGAACGGATTATGATTTAAGATATTCGTTTGCAGTTGAAACTGGGCGTATTTTATGTCTCCTGTCATTTGGTAGACTTTGTTGCGTTGGAAACGCAGATGGTGACTATGCAAGAACACACACAGGAGAGCTCGGTTTTGCAGATGGAATCGTTCTGCTAAGTAAGAACAATAATGACAGGCAAAGAAAAATAGATGATTTCGCAAGAACGAGTAGCCTCAAAGGGTAGCTTACAAATAAGTCATGAAAAGACAAATATTTTAAAAACACCAAAAACAGCTCAAACAGATGCAACACTAGAGACAAACATAATTAAACTAGCGGTCCATTTACTTATTCAGATAAGTAACACTGATAGTTAAGGAAATGAACAGAAACGAATTATGACAGGCATTGGAAAAGAATTAGCAGCTTTAAAAGCCTGAACAAAGTATCAAACTCTAAATTATTTAGTTATGAACCAATTTTAATATATCCAGTTACAATGTCATTTCATTTTTAATATATGTGAGTGAA